AAACATAGTAAGCGACTAATAAAAAATTACATAGTAAATGATACAATTTTTTTTAATCACACAATATAATACAGGTATATGCTGACATTAATTTCAGATGGTTTATGATAAATTGACTAGGCTCATTACCCATTTGTAAAATCTCTTCAGAGGCGCATACAATTAGCTACCTAAGAAATTGTTTTATATACCTTATTATTTATTTAAATTAAAGCATATTCAGCACACCCCTATGATACAACTGACAAAAGTTTAAAAATGTAACTAATTCTATATAAAATGGGTTGATTAGAGCCATATTTAAAATGTTATTTTCACAATTTAACAATTTTTTATTGAATATATTTTTTCAATACAACATTAATTTAAAATTTTACTTTAACTTGTAGGTCTTGTTTTTATGATTTACCTTCTAATAGGTGATTTTTTTTTTTTTCAATTACCATTCAAAACTATTTCACGTTAGTTTTGAATTAATTGTAGCAAGTTAATAATCATAATTTTAAATATACATAATATATGGTGCCTAACCTATAAGTACACATCTAGCATATTGTAATTTTAAATGCATACTAATTGTACAACTTTTTTTCAATTACCTATATTCTTTAATTAAAAACAACTTAATTCAAAATTGGAAATTCCACATATTACCCCACTTTATATTTATAATATTGTGAACCACTTAAATAATTTAAAATAATTTAATAGTGAAAGACTATGAATAGTTAAATATTTCAAATTTAAACTTATATAATATTATGTTTTTTAACAATACAATAATTATGAATATTGTTACAAACAATAAGGTAATATGTAAAAAACAACTTAGCTATTTCAATATGTCGTGACTGAAATCACCCCATTTTATATTTCTATTATTATGAACCACTATAAAAGGCATTTGTATAGCAGGTGATCTACCAATTTACTAGAAGTAATCTACTACAAGATTTAGGTAGCTATAATAATATGTACATTGTACATACCTATTGGCTATTAGGTTTAAAATATATTTCACCATTAATTATTAAGATATTTTTTTATTTGGGATTATCAAATCAAATAAGAATTCATTCAAAAATACACAGTTTACCGCCATTGATTAGTGCTACTATATGAAAATTATATTTCTATTATTATCAAAATCAGGCGTACCTACATTATCATGATAGTAATACATTATAGTTTTTGGCTTAAATTGAGAAGTATGTAATAAGTAATAACTATAATAATTAATAGGTAAATAATAAAGGAGTAGAAGGGCACTTGATCGACTTTACAATTACTACTATGAAAGAAATGCACATTTATAAAATTTGATAGAGCACCTGCTAGATAAACACCCTTCAAAAATGTTACCATAATATTTAAAAGCCCAGGACTATGATAAATCTATTCCAAATTAAATGATTCAGTTACATCAAAATATTCGTTATGCAGTAATGCAAAATATGAGTTAAGATCATAACATGTATTCAAAAAAATTGAAACAAACTCAACTTAACCCCTAACTTGAAAAAATACAGTACAATTTAAAAGTGGGACTAATAATATTTTAACTAATAATATTTTAACGTGGTGGTAATAAATAGCTAACAACACCAATCAAACAGAAGAACTATTCAGTTGCAAAACACTAAAACAATATACTTTTAAATAAAAATATTTTTATGATACATAAATATTAGGATTAAGACATACCTACCTAATATTATAACAAAGTAGTTATTTAAATAAAATATTTAATAATACCATGTATAATAATGAAGGTGAGTAATTTATAATTCTTTTTTTAATTTTCTAGAAACATACATTTTACCACCCATTTAAGTATCAATGATTGATTGATGTTGTTAGCTAAATTAACTTAATTGTATAATATTTGTTAAAATTAAAAAAAAAAACATTAGCATGTACTATTTTCATTTTACATATTTTTAGTTTACTATATTATTGGGATTAAGTTTTTTCTGGAATGCAGATTGTCAGACTTGATTTTTAATCTTCTTTGAAATTAACTTGAGTAGTTGAGTATTTACTATCTAATAAATTAAAAAAGGATAAATATAACCAAATTATTTAATGGTAAAATAATATATTTACATACTTAATTCATTTTGTAGTCTCTCCCAACTATTAAAATAGTAAATGGGAAACAACATTTTCATTTGTCATTGTTCTCGTTTGGAAAATGTAATGGAAGATAGAAAATTATGTGATTTCAATATCTATCTCCAAATCATTTGGCCAAGTATATTTGTAGTAAATACAGATCAACTTAGTTCTTAACAATAATTACTATGCCAGAATGTAAAATTTGAATATATGCAACTTATAAGTACTTCTGAACAAGGAACATTATATTTTTAAGTATGTATATGATGTAGATAGGCAACCATTTTGTTGTGTCCAAGTAGATGGTAATAAGTAAATGAATAATATATGAAGTTGTATTAGGTTTGTGCTATGGTGTATTGGTGTCGGCCAATAATTTTAAGAGTATAACAAATTTTGTGTTATCAAACTTTGAATAACATTTATTGGTGGTGTAACTGAATGAACAAAACTGATTTAACTGAAAATAAAATTTAAATAAAAACTGTTAATAATGTATAATAATGTATGTACAAATTAATGTATTAATCATAACGATTTTCCTACGTATATATTTTAAGAAAACTTACCAATAAACTTAATGTAGGTACAAATGTTGTGCTTTCCAAGTGGTTAGTATTCATGTATTATCAAGTTTACATAACACTTCATAATATAAACTTAAATACATATATTTTTGATTGAAATATCAAATAAAATACATAAATATATCCCAAATTACGACTTAGGTATAATGTAATTTTAAGTTCAATGGAATATTTTTGACAAACTTAATGATTCAACAACTACCTATTTTGTTAGGTATATTATGCTATTAAAGAAATTTAAACTGTCTGTCTACCTATAACGGTTTACAACATAAACTAACTATACATACCTATGTATGGTTCAATTATTAATTACATTATACATTTAATATTAAACTATTTAAGTAATAGTGCTATGCTGCATGGCCACATGGTTTAGTATTTTACTTTACGAGTTTTAAAGTTCATTATCAGTATTCAGTTTATTACAACCGATTGATTTTTCTGTACCATTATCATTAATTAATTAATATGATATAATATTTTAATCAATTCTATTATCTTATAAGACCGTGGTCATAGATAATGATAAAGGTATCGCCAAATATCGGTAATAGTAATAGTAATAAGATTATTATTGTTCTATGGTAATAATGTAATATGGAGGGGATGTGGTGCGACAGCCAATGTCAACAAAACGTAGCATTGGTCAAATTAGCATATAGCCATATAGGTGTAATGTACATTCAATTAATCAGGTTCAAAGTACAACAATTATCAATATGTTTAATGTTAGGCACCGTAGGTAGTTAGGTCGAACGGTATCGAATTTATCAGTTATAGCTTCTGGGCTTTACAAATGAAAATTTTCCAGCGGTACCGACTTTCAACCACCAATACTTTGAGGAGCTGTATCTCGCAAACGAATCATCGAAAAATAAAAATGTTCAAAGGAGGGGGGTCTCCTAACATAAATATTATAACAGAAACAGATTTGATTATCTATCAAAGTAAATTATTTGACTTTTACTAAGTAATACGGTGGGTTGAATAGAAATTGAAAAAATAAAATTTATGAGGAACCTAGTGTTACGTTTTCAAATCTTAGGCTAGAATTTAAAAAATGGTATGTCTCTTTTACAATAAATAATTTTTAAATTTTTGTAAATTTTCGTGAATTTTTAATTTAATTGCGCTAATTAAAACTTAAGAGGAATCTCGTATTATATTTTGAAATGGTGCAGGTACTCTACGTGGCACCACTGTGTAATAAGGATAACTCTTATTTTGTTTCAGTATAAAGTGTGTTTATTTCCATTTGATATTTGAATGAATTAACTATTTTACAATAAGTGGGAGGGGACGGAGTTCCAACCGGTCGTCGGGGTCCCCGTACAAGAAAGCGAATGTTTGCTCTTTACAAAGTTATATACAATTATGGGATGGGGAAGAGACTTAAACACATCGGGCTCGATAGCAAAAGTGGCGTCCGCTCTATGAGTCTCGTCCGGTTTGCGTGGCCATAACAGGCGCGCTCGAGCAGTGTTGCCAGAAATGTAGCACTAAATAAAACCAAATTATGATAACAGAATAACCAGAAAATAACCAGACACCAAAAAATTATACCAAAAAAAATAACCAAACCGAAATCATCAAATTGCATAAAAATATAAAATTATTTAATATATAATTTAGACATTTTCTTGATAAATAATTAATATAATAGATGAACAGCCATTTCAATTTTCAGTGCTAAATTAGTGCTTTACGGACGTATAAAAATTAAAATTAGTGCTCCCTCCAAACCAGAGTTATCGCCATCGCCGTTTTTCAACTTGGCGGGATCATCTAAAGCACTAATTCCCGCTATAAAGCCAAATTTTAGTGCTCAATTAGTGCTTTACAACTTCAACAGACAATTTTGCACTGCAGGTCACTACTAATCATCGACAAATTGTATTAATTGGAGATGTCTTGTCTTGTTTTCATTTGTTATGTTCACTACCGACACTACCTATATAGAATGTTATTCACTTTTATTACCATATAGTGTAGGTGTACTGTACATTGTACAAACTACAAGTACATATTTAAGACCCCGGGGGGATCAGACATCGGGGGGACAGGTTAGGCGTTGATGAGCCATTCCTATCGTGGATTAGTTCCTATCTTAGCGAGCGGCACCAATTTGTAAGTCTCTTCGGTAAGTCATCCAATCTTTTTCGAGCGTCATCCGGAGTTCCACAAGGTAGCCACCTAGGACCTCTCTTATTTAATATTTTTATTAACACCGTGTGCTCAACAGTTTCTCCTTGTCGCCTTCTTCTGTTTGCCGATGATTCTAAGATTTTCCAAATGATATCCTCATACAATGACTGCCTCACTCTCCAAAACTCCCTTGATAAATTTGCCGCCTGGTGCAATTCTTTTAATTTGTCGCTAAATATTGCCAAATGCAAAGTAATGACCTTTCATCGTTCTAGGTCAGTCATTACCTTTGACTATAACCTAAGCGGTCTATCTATTCAACGTGTTAACCAAGTCGAGGATTTGGGCATTCTGTTTGTGCCTTCACTCCACTTTGGTCCTCATATCGATATCATGACTAGTAAAGCTTTTCGCGTACTGGGTTTTATTAAGAGACATACTGTTAATTTTAGTTCCCCTAAATGCCTACTGGTTCTCTACAACTCGTTGGTTCGTTCAGTTCTCGAATATGGGTGCGTAGTCTGGTCACCATACACCGCTGCTGACATTCGACGGATTGATCGGGTTCAAAATTACTTTATGAACTTTGTTGGCTTCTGTCTCAATATCCCTCACCCAAAACACGATTACAGGCCTATTATACAAGCCCTTAAGCTCAACTATCTCCAAACTAGGCGTGATAACCTTGGTAATAATTTTATTCGAGGTTTAATTGAGGGTAGAGTCGATGCCCCTAGGCTTCTCGAACAACTTGATTTTCGAATACCCAATAATACTAGGTTACAGTGTTCTTTCTATCCCCCTAACAATACGTCTAACTTTGCGAGAAATGCCCCATTACCAAGATTAATGCGCTTAGCGAACTTACTGTAATACCCGTAGTACGGAGGCTCACATTTCGTTAGCTTATTATGTTATTTATTTCTTATTATCATTATGTTATCTATCTAGAACTTTATTTAATTTATTCATATGTAAAAAAAAAAAAAAAAAAAAAAATGTTTATATATCTTGATCTGTATCTTGTACACTCCATGTAAATTTTGTAAAAGCCGACTGGCGTTAATTCAATAAAATAAATAAATAAATATTTCGTACAATCGTACCTACTTAATTGAAATTAATTAATAATAAGATACAGTCAAATATAAATTCATACTTCCTATATTTGTAATATAATATGTAAACCGTTGTAATTTAAGATTTTTCAATTGTTAGAGCGCCCAGCTCTTTACGGCCTTTATCCTTCTAGCTGTTATGACACTCGTATGAATAGATATTATTATAATGGTATGTGATTAAAGGATATTTTTGATTTTATCAACAAAAAAAATGCTATTTTACATAATTGTATATAAGTTATTATTATTAATTTTAGTTTAAGTATAATTAATGGATGCTGGATAATATAGTATAATGTAGTAAATTATAAATAAATTATAATATATAATGTAATTCATTTTAATTATGCTATTTATATAATTAACTGTTCCTATGTTGGTCAATTAGATCACTAATTTTGAGATCAACTAGATCTTTAGGGGAAAATATAAATTTGGTGACCTTAAAGACCGTTATATTGTTCTATGGTTATATAGATCTAGATGGCCAAAGGGGATTTAGTTGACAGAGGAACTAATTGACTCACGAGGATCTAGTTGACCACAGATGGTGATCTAGTTGACCACAGGGGAGCTAGATGACCATGGGGATCTAGTATGACGGGGAAGTAGGTGATACGTCACCGTTATATCGGAGCGACAATTGATTACACCAGTTCTATTTTTAGACGGTTTTTTTCTATTTACCAGATTACTGATATCGTTATCTTATTAACTCTTTGAGGGGCAGTGGTTAGTATGCTAACCACTTTTTTTTTACCGTTCAGGTGCGTTGGTTACTATTTTAACCACTTTTAAAATTATTTTTAATATTTTTTTGATGATGGTCAGCATACCAATCACCTTATTATCATCTTATACATGCATCAAACAATATCACTGCCGGTGGTCTGATATCATTTCTCGCGTTTTTCATCATTTATTATCATTATCAATATTTTGATATACGTACTAAATGTTATGGTAAAGAGAGACATATTGCCCACATGGGTCTTTTTTCTAAAGGAAATTTTCGCCCCTCAAAGAGTTAATTCAGTCAATCAACTAAAAATATCATTTAATTTTCTATTTTTATCACTGTTATGATATTTTGTTCTTGTGACGTATACTCGTGTGTCCGTCTCATGAATTTGTTGTAGTGTTAATTCAGATCCGATCTATGATGGTATCAACAGTTATTTTGAAAATTTAATTAAATTCGATATTTTGATAGTTATATTTTGATTATTTATTCACTTGAAGTATTTAAAGGTAAGTTATATTTCAATTAATCTATTTAGTATTTTATATTCTTTATTGATATTAAGGTAAGTATAAATAAAATTTACACCTAGATACCCACTATAGAAGTGTGGAACCAATATGATTTTAGACACTTGTGTCATATTTGCAAAAATTCCAATTTTTTAAATAGAAATGTTTTTCCGACACAACTATATAAACATTAACAATAATTAATAATTAATAAAAACATATTTTTACCAAAATATACTTCTTTTCAAACAATGTGTTTAATGGGTTATACTGGACTAACAAATACATGATTTTTGACTGATTTGGTAGGTAAACAAATATTTAATAAAGTTATTAATAGTCTGATACCAATGAAAAATTATTCAATATGCTCATCAGAGTACCTATCCTGATACTTTTATATATTACACGAATTTCTGATGGGTAGATATAACTGTATGTAGTGGTTACAATGTGTATGTTCACACAAATTGAAATTATAAATTACACATAATAAGGTTAAATAATAGTGTATTTCATTTAAATATTCAAGTTTTTTGACAAATTCCCATTTAAATAAAACACTTTTACTGCTTATAAAGTATAAATTAAAATATAAAATAAATATTTTTATATATTCCTATAATTAAAGTAATTTATTTTAATATATTAGTCTTACGCTATTACGGTAGGTTGATTTAATTAATTTTTAAATGAATAATATTAAATTATTATAATAGTGTATATTAATTATATCATAATATCATATTAATATTGCTATTATTAAATGTTAAGTTAATAACACCTTAATATAGAGGTAGAATCAGTCTATACGTTTTGAAAATACCATTGTGTAATTTGTAAGTAGGTATATTATAATATAGACTTAGAACAAAAACTCATAAACAATAAAACAGCAATAGTTGGTAAATGGCGTTTTAAATAATTTAATTGTGTCTTTTCTGACCATAACATTATAAAATTTTGTATTGTTATTAAATTTTGTTTATTTTTTTTTTACGATACAAAAACATATTACCCTTTTTTGTTTTATACAATATGTTTTTCAATTTTGAAGAATTATTTAGAAAATAATATTTAAACATACTCTTCTGGAAAAAAAAAATATTAGTATATGTTTGTGTTATTCGTTTTTGCATAAATTAATGTTATCTAATTTTATATAGATAAATAAATTGATATTGAAAATTTTCATATTATAAGAAATGTATAAGACAAATTTGTTGAATTTATAACATAATAGCAGTAACTTTTGAGTAACCCCTTGAGTAACTTTTTAAAAAATGTTTGAAAACTTACTTTTTTTTTTGAAAACCTTAATGTGCTAAACTATCATATTATAAAAAAAATTTGAAAATTTTTTTTCAAAACTCACAAATACCTAAAAAATGGTGGTCATTATATATAACCACTACGAACCTAGGATTAACAAATTATAATTACTAATGTTTTTTTTATTAGATAATCAATTATATTATATTACATTTTTATTAAATTATTGTTTTTGATGAAATGTTTCAAAACAGTTTTTCTCTGAAGTTAAACATAGTGCTACATTACATGTAGAACATTCCCATCTACTTCTTTTAGGGTTTTCTTTGGTAGAGCAGTTATGGCATCGACGGATTGTACAACTTTTTGGTATATGTGCAACATTTGCAAAACGCATTTCTAGAGGTATTCTAACTTTGAAGTTGTTAGTTTTATTTTTAAATGATTTTTGTTTTCCTCTTGGTGATGTATAAAAAAATATTAGAAAGGTGGTCTCAATTATGTACCACCTTTCTAATATTTTTTTGCTCGTTTCGTCGTAGTGGTATTTTATTGAAACCACCGTCAATCGGTGCAGTTGGTCACACTCTCAACGATCAAAAAAAAATTTTCCCTCCAACGTTAGTTGGCTGATAATAATTTCAGTTATTGTGTTATCAACGTTATTTATTTTTTTCGTCGTAAATTTTCGTAAACGATTTATTAATTAATAATACATTTTTTGACGGATTTTCTTCAACCAAGCATTTTTGTACTTGTAAGTATGTATATTAATTAATTTTATAATCGATTTGGCCGAATATGTATTAATTTTATATTATTTATTGAAAATGTAGGTGGTCTCAAAAAGATACCACTGCGATGGATCATAAATTAATAAGCGTGGACCTACTTACACATGATGAACTGTTTGAACTATTTGAATCTATACCAAGTGATCAAGAATCAATCTTAGGAGATGAATCTGACTTCGAAGAGGACATTACAGATATTTTAGAGGTATTTTATATGTATTTTATGTTATAATTATATGATGTTAAAAATATATATGTTTTTTTTATTAGGATAATGATATACAAGTGAGCTCCCCATTACATCAACCACAGCTTTTAGATTATATTTTAATTAATGTACCAAATGATGAACATATTACTCAAAATTCAATTTGTTTTTCAAATTCAACTGATATTGATGATGTAAGAAATCCATTTAAAAGGAAACAATTTATTTTTTATGTAAACTATTATACTATTATAGTATTTATAATGTTCTATTATTATAGGAGTCAAATGATGTTACTGTACAGGCAAGACGTGTAGAAGATGTACCTTTATCGGAAAGATTTCTAAACATAGAAGGGATTTGGGAAAATCATGGCTATATTGCTGAGCCTAAAAATTTCCTTGGTAAAGGTGGACCAAATATACCAAATGACATCGATGACCCTATAAGTTTTTTCCACTGCATTTTTACTAATGAATTAGTTGACCATTTAGTATTTCATACAAATTATTATGCTCAACAAAAACATACAACTTTTGAGCCTATCAATGCTGCTACTATGAAAACATTTTTGGCTATTAATATTGCAATGGGTATAAAAAATCTTCCATCTTATAAAGACTATTGGTCCTCTAACATACAACTAAGGGACAACTACATAGCATCTTTAATGCCATTAAAAAAATTTCAATGGTGTTTATCAAATTTACACATTAATGACAATAATTTGGAACCCCGTCGACATGAACAAAATTATGACAAGTTGTATAAAGTAAGGCCTTACCTTGATCATCTTTCCAAAACTTTTTTACAATGTATGAACCCAAATGAGTTTCAATCCATCGATGAAAGCATGATAAAGTTCAAGGGGCGCAGTACTATGAAACAATACATGCCAATGAAGCCCATAAAAAGAGGATACAAAATTTGGGTACGGGCTGATCAAACTGGGTTTATAAGTGAGTTTGAAATATACACTGGGAAAACAGATTCTGTTGAAAGTTCTTTGGGAAAACGTGTAATACTAACTCTTACCAATAAAATACAAGGAAAGTACCACAGAGTTTTTTTTGATAATTTTTTCACTTCTCTTGACCTCATGGAAGATTTGCTTAAAAATAAAGTTTATGGTTGTGGAACTGTGAGAGGTAATAGGAAAGGACTTCCTATAAACCAGTTGAATGATAAACAAATGAAAAGAGGTGATAGTGAGGGAAGAGTATCAACCACAAATGTGTCATGGATCAAATGGAAAGATAATCGTCCAATACAATTCCTCTCAAACTATCACGATCCAGATCACCTTACCAGTTGCTTGAGGTAAGCAAAAGATGGATCATCAGCAAGCATAACATGCCCTACAATGGTGAAGGATTACAATAAGAATATGGGATATGTTGATTATGCAGATATGATGAAATCATACTATGAGATTGATCGAAAGAGCCACAAGTGGTGGCATAGAATATTCTTTCACTTTTTAGATGTTGCTGTGACTAACTCTTATATATTATTTAAATTAAAATGTCAAGGGAGGAATATTCCTTTGAAGGATTTTAGACTTGCTGTAGTTGCTGGTTTAGTTGGAATTCCAACTACATCACCAAGAGGAAAACAAAAATCATTTAAAAATAAAACTAACAACTTCAAAGTTAGAATACCTCTAGAAATGCGTTTTGCAAATGTTGCACATATACCAAAAAGTTGTACAATCCGTCGATGCCATAACTGCTCTACCAAAGAAAACCCTAAAAGAAGTAGATGGGAATGTTCTACATGTAATGTAGCACTATGTTTAACTTCAGAGAAAAACTGTTTTGAAACATTTCATCAAAAACAATAATTTAATAATAATGTAATATAATATAATTGATTATCTAATAAAAAAAACATTAGTAATTATAATTTGTTAATCCTAGGTTCGTAGTGGTTATATATAATGACCACCATTTTTTAGGTATTTGTGAGTTTTAAAAAAAAATTTTCAAATTTTTTTTATAATATGATAGTTTAGCACATTAAGGTTTTCAAAAAAAAAAGTAAGTTTTCAAACATTTTTTAAAAAGTTACTCAAGGGGTTACTCAAAAGTTACTGCTATTATGTTATAAATTCAACAAATTTGTCTTATACATTTCTTATAATATGAAAATTTTCAATATCAATTTATTTATCTATATAAAATTAGATAACATTAATTTATGCAAAAACGAATAACACAAACATATACTAATATTTTTTTTTTCCAGAAGAGTATGTTTAAATATTATTTTCTAAATAATTCTTCAAAATTGAAAAACATATTGTATAAAACAAAAAAGGGTAATATGTTTTTGTATCGTAAAAAAAAAATAAACAAAATTTAATAACAATACAAAATTTTATAATGTTATGGTCAGAAAAGACACAATTAAATTATTTAAAACGCCATTTACCAACTATTGCTGTTTTATTGTTTATGAGTTTTTGTTCTAAGTCTATATTATAATATACCTACTTACAAATTACACAATGGTATTTTCAAAACGTATAGACTGATTCTACCTCTATATTAAGGTGTTATTAACTTAACATTTAATAATAGCAATATTAATATGATATTATGATATAATTAATATACACTATTATAATAATTTAATATTATTCATTTAAAAATTAATTAAATCAACCTACCGTAATAGCGTAAGACTAATATATTAAAATAAATTACTTTAATTATAGGAATATATAAAAATATTTATTTTATATTTTAATTTATACTTTATAAGCAGTAAAAGTGTTTTATTTTTAAAATAATTAAAATATAAATTTTAAAATTGTGATAATATATATTAATAATTTATGCATAATTTAGAACAGTATTCAATTTCTTCGTCTACGTCAAGTTTTGAAGAAACGGAAAATGAAGATGAAGTAATTGAACAGTTATCTCCAGTCCCAGGTCCATCAAGAAATAAAAGAGGTAGGATAGAACTTTTAACACAAAGATTATCTGCCACTCTTGATAGATGCAAAATAAGTGATAGAGATGCTGTTCATTTGTTAACTGCTTGTGTAGAAGCCCTGTCTTTAGATCCCAGTATTTATGTTATAAACCGAACATCAATTAAAAAGTCCCGTGAAGACTATCGACAAAAAATATCAGAAAATATTACTTCCAAATTTCACGAAAAAAATTTAAATTATGTTGTGATCCATTGGGATTCAAAAATACTTCTAGCCCTTACCAGAAATAATAATGTTGATCGTTTACCAATTATTGCAACGGCCATGAATGTTGAACAACTTCTTGAAGTCCCACAAATGCCTTCTGGGACAGGACATGAAATATCTTCAGCTGTGTTTGATACTTTACAAAAATGGTCTTTACTAGATAAAGTCCAAGCATTCGTATTTGATACTACAGCTTCTAACACATGGAGGTTGAATGGGGCATGCGTACTATTAGAACAAAGTTTAGAAAGAGTAATTTTATTTTTGGCGTGCCGACATCACATTTTTGAACTTGTTTTACAAGGTGTATTTTTAGAAGTAAAGTTATTTCCTATGACAGGACCAGATATATTACTTTTTAAAAGATTTCAACATGCGTTTGAAAATATTGATAAAAGCAAATTTTCCACTTCAGTTTCTGATATCTATATTCAAAATATTATAAAAAATGACGCTGATGAAATTATATTATATGCAAAAAAAAAATTACCGATAGTCTTCCTCGAGATGATTACCAAGAATTTTTAGAACTCGTTATTATATTTTTAGGCGGTGTTCCACCTCGAGGAATTGCTTTTAGGTAGCCTGGTCCATACCATTTAGCCAGATGGATGGCTAAGGCCATTTATTCTTTAAAGCTATATATATTTAAAGATCAATTTAAACTAAATAGCAAAGAAGAAAAGGCATTAAAAGATATTTGTTGTTTTATAGTTAAATGTTACGTTCAGGCTGACATTAATGACATTTTATTTTTAAAAAAATTAGAAGAATATAAATTGCATAATAAAAGAGTTGCAGAAGTAGCATCAAAAAAAATAATAAATCATTTGTGGTATTTAAATCCAGAGTGTGTTACATTTTCGATATTTGACGATCGTGTAGATCACAGTACGAAACTCCAAATGGCTGAGAGAATATTGAGTACTTACGATTCAAGCATAAACGATGAAGAGGAAGAAATCGAGTTGAAAAAAAAATAGGCCTTAAATTTGAAGATGTTTCACATTTTATACAAAAAGATCTATTAATTGACTTAATAAACTCTAAATCGATTGGAATGTTCAAGAGATTTCAAATTTCTACACAGTTTTTAACTATTGATCCGGCCAATTGGAATAATCACGAGGACTACATAATAGGAAAAAAAATTATAATTTCACTAAAAGTCGTGAATGATACAGCTGAGAGGGGAGTCAAGCTTATAGAAGAATATAACAAGAAATTTACAAAAAATGAAAAACAAAAACAACATGTATTACAGGTAATTTATTTTACTATTTCAAAAATAAATTAAACTTATAAATGTTATTATATTTTCTAGACTGTTCTAGATTACCGGAAAAAATATCCGCAAAGTGACAGACAAACGCTGAAGAAACCATTTTAGGTAGCATTAATTAACTATACCTACAATTCGATGAAAAAAAATAATACCTATTTTTAATTATTTTTTTATGTTGTAAAAATTAAAGAAAATCAAGTAAATAAAACCAAAACGTATATTACAGAATCTTAAGACTTTTTTAGATATAATCTTTTTTTTATATTATTTAATTCCGTATAATTATTATTCAACATATTTTGTCATATATCCAACCGTAAGTTGTATATATTTAAAAAACCAAAAAAATGCAATTTTGTTAAATATATATAATATTTTGTAAATTAATAAGTTTTCTTAAAAATAAATGGACGTACGAGAATTTACGTAATATGCTTTTTTATAGACAATGCTAAAATCTATAATTTAGTTCTTTACACGTTTTCGTTAAATACAATACCTTCTGAATTAAATAAAAAAAACAAAAAACTACCCTCTTTTTCCAAATTTCAACCCTAATGCGGCATCAGAAGGGGTTGAGTGAGATCATCCAAATTTTACCCAAATTACTTACTCATATAACTTAACAAATTAAGGGGGTACTGTATTAAAAAAATCACATTGAAAAAATAAGGACCACCCTAATAGATATGTATATAATAGCACTAAAATTTGGCGGTATAGCGGGAATTAGTGCTTTTCATGATCCCGCCAAGTTGAAAAACGGCTATGGTGATAGCCAATCTGGTTTGGAGGGAGCACGAATTTTAATTTTTGTACGTCCGTATAGCACTAATTGAGCACTAAAATTTGGCGGTATAGCGGGAATTAGTGCTCTTCATGATCCCGCTAACCTCACGGACCTACTGAATAGACTCAGAGTCCAGAGTAGATATTCATTGGGACAATATTATCATCACTTGTAACGTTTTTATCACGAGTAGATATATACATACATACAATATTAAAGTAGGCAACCTACACAAATACAGCCGTGATATCTTATCAATATTAATAATTTGTAAAATTGTCAATATTGAATAAAATAAGTGTTAATGTTGTTATTAATCTACAAATCTACATAATATTTTATATTTTCAAACACAATAACATAATTTTAATACTTTCATATTACGTAAGTAATAAATATAACTTATTTAACCGTACACATATTTTAATTGATTCACAAATTAGAAACCATGTTGAAGTATACCAAAACAAATATACTTCAAATAGAAAATTAGTAGATACACTTTCAAAACCTTTTTTAAATATTTTAAATAGTTATAATAGTGAGTTAAAATTATATTGCAATTCTTAATTTAAAGGTTCGATTGAATGAATAAAATTGTTTCTACTTTGTCTGTTGTAAGTCTGGTCCTCTTTGCATTCAGAACAAGCCCAGCTTTAGAAAAAACTCGTTCACTAGGAACTGATGTCTCTGGTACACATTGTCTTCTTAGTACCATCTCATACAATCTAGGATATAAATTTTGTCTGTCTGAATACCACTTTAAAGGATCTTCCTGGCGATTCAGGAGATTCTCACTCAGGTACTTGTCTATTTCAATAATACTTCCTACTGTTGAATTATTTTCACCAAGAACTGAACTGACTTGTTCATCAAATTTTGTCCAAATACTTGATGAAGGCACTTGTGGAATGGAAATAGCTGAAGTAACGCTTTCAGTCACATTTGAATTATTTATATCTAAATTTGATAATTTTCTTCCCATAGTAATTTTACATGCTTCAAATTTATCAATATTAGCAAATCCATATTTCTTAAATCTAAGGTCTAGAAAAATAGCTTGTGATTGAATGTCATTGCTCTCTAAATTTTTGAAATACTTATTTAAGTTGATTTATTTCCAAAGCCATTGCATTTACATTAGTAGGTATATTATATCATTAAATAAAATTATAAATATCAACTGTTCTAATAAAAATATATAAAATAAATTCTGTTTTGAAATTGTAACCACATTCTCAGCACTCATTTCTGTTTTACAACAAGTTCATCAAAAACTTTAATTAATTTACAAGCAGAATACACTACTTCCCATTCATCATCACTAATGCAATTTAATCTATTGTTAGTAATTGCTAATGTCGACAATACAGGCTCTTTTAATTTAATATTCCTTTCCATCATTAAATATGCATAATTCCATCGCGTTTTGCATTCCTGTATAAGTTTAAGATTTTCAAATCTGTTTTGTTTTTGAATATTTTGTAACTTATGACACGCTCCAGAACTTTGTTTAAAAAATTCAACTATACTTTTTATCTTATTAATAATAGGTTTTAATTTTTCCAATCCGTGTTGAATACCAATATTCAGGACGTGAGCAAAACATGAAATATGTCTCCAATTATTTAACTTAATAGCACCAACAATGTTAGGAGCATTGTCAGTTACTACAGCTGATATTTTATTTTCAATATTCCATTTTTTCACTGTAGCCATTAAATATCAGAAAGTTCTTGAGATGTACATTTTTCATTATAATTTATACAACCAATCAATCGAGAACACAATTTAGTTTCCGAATTTATGAAATGGACAGTTTATGCAATATAATGTTAATTATTGATGGATGTCCAACCATCTGTTGTCAACGATAGAGCCTTCACACTTTGTAAGTCAATTTTAACTTTTTCTAACACACTCTCATACATTTGTAATAATAGACTATTTGATATTGTTTTTCTAGACGGTATAAAATAATTAGGTGCAAGCATTTTTATTAAATTCTAAAATTCTGTTTCTTCGACCAATGAAAAGGCATGGAAACGTTTTATGATACATTTTGAGATTTGTAAGTCAATAGCCTTTGATTTTGAGAGCAAAATAGGTTTACTAACGAACTGTGTAATGGTACTTTGCCTACTTTGATTTGACGTTGAAAGACTTACCGTTTCAGGTAGAACTGTAGAAGAAGCTGTATTTGCAGATGTGCTGGTAGTGGCTGCGGATGGAATGCTGGATGGATCATCAATATATTCTTCATTGTCAGATGAAAGGTTGTTCTGATTCCTCAATGGTTTTGTTAGTGGCACAGTTATATGTTTGGTTTTAAGGTGTCGTAAAAGATTACTCGTAGAACCACCACTGTAACTAAGTTCGTGGCCACAATAAGAGCATTTAGCTATAGCACTGGATTTATAGTAAAATGATTCCATATTGTGCTTCGTTTACGGTTCAGTAACATTATAACTTGAATAATGATAAAATATTTTTAATTTATAATATTTTTTACTTTATGTACCAAGACTCATAAAATAAGCATATAAATAAAAATTAAAATTAAAAACAAACTCTCTTTACTCTCTAACCACTTTGCTCATACGATGACAAATGAAAAATGTTGATGGTTTTTATTGTCTTTAATATAGTTTATCAGTCTACAAGTATTATTCAGATTTTCATGTCACATACGGTTGAAACATGTGTTTATATGTCACTATTTAGTATTTATAGAAATTGAAAAAAATATGACCATCAAAATATCAAATATTTGGTTTACAGAATTAGAACTAAAATGTAATAACTAAATACCAAAAGACCCAAGCTTGTTCATAATAAAGTCTTATCTTAGGTGTTTCTCATTGATTTGGTAATACAAAATGTTAATTGAGTCTTAAATTCAAAACTGTGTTTGGACCCAAATTATAAAAAAGTACTACCTAGTATCTAGTCAGTTGAAAATAAATATTTAACATTACAGATAACTAGGTGGACCAAAGTTACTTATCTGTGCGAAATGCACAAATAATTTAGGGTAAAAATCCCAATAATCTAATCAAACACAGCATCACTCTGTATAAAAAAGCAAATTATAAATGCTTTCGTTATTATGCCTATGTATTTTTAACACCTATTACATATGTGTAATAATTAATGTTCGCGCCAAGTGCAGCGCGATAGTTTGGCAAGACTGCGAATGTTGTCCCACTGTCAGCAATATTTCAGCTTGAGATAGTGTTTTTCTTATCAAGCTGATAGTGGACGGCCTGTGACTGCGTCAGTCCGTTATTATTTCTTGAATTTTTTATATTATTCGTAGTTTTTATTTTATTATGGTTTTGTCCGCTGATGTTCTATTTTTATTATTTATTTATTTCTGGATAATCTCTGTTGTGCGTCAGTGTCATCAATATTGTGTTAAATGTTATTATTATTTTGTACTCGACGACACTGTCCACAGCAAAGGTTATAAAAGCTGACGCCCAGCGTGATCGCCTTTTATTCATTATTCTTCGGTCCAAAGACATTTATTTCGTTTTTTTGTAACATTATTCTATGAATTAGTCAAAGCACATGTGCCAGTCGGTTTCGTTCACTTCGTTGGTTTTCGTTGTATTAAAGTTTATTGTTGGGTGGTCATATTTGGTCTACATTCTGTTTGTAGTGCTTTTCCTGTGTTATATCGTAAGTGGTACCTCACAGCTGTCGCGTGGGATAACATCCACGCCTAAGGTAACCACATGTGTTGTGGCTGTGAGTATGTTTTTTTTTTTGATACATTTTTATATATTTGTGCCACTGTAAAACAGTAATAGTCATTTTATCTTCATATTCATTATAATTTATATTCATTTGTATACTTTGGCCGACTGAGGCATACTTATATTAATTGTGCTAGTCAAGCACCTTATAAAAAATTGCACTTAACATTATATTCATGTGATAATGAAGCACTTTAAAAATTATCTTTTTGTATTATATTCATGTGCTAATGAAGCACTTTAAAAATTATCTTTTTGTATTATATTCACATGCGCTAATCAAGCAAATGATACATATTTATATTTTATATTATAGTCAAATCACGCACATACGTTTATTAGTTGTTTTTTATTTATTATTTATACTTCATAGTGTGAAAGCGCATTCGGTGTTATATATTTTTACTATTCATATTAACATTGAACGCTAGTAGCGCCAACAATTAATATATATTATATTATAATAATATATAGAAATAGTTTAAAAAAGTGTTAGTATATAATTCATTATTTTATATCAAAAATAATAAATGATTTATTTTATTTTATTATTTATTATATATGATTATATATAATCTATTCATTAATTCAATTTTAGTTCGTGATTCTTTGAAATTCAAATTGGATTTCAAATGATTATGTATTAATTTCTTAATTTTGTTCAAATATTTTTGTTATATATTAGAAGGTAAAAACATACCTACATTATAATAATATAATATATGATACACTGTATTCACTGCGCTTAAATTACTCATTTTCTTTCTTTCTTTTTTTTTTTTTACATCATTCAATTTGTAATTATTGCATAAAATGTATGTATTTTTATTTACGTACTAAAAATACTTTAAACAATTAAGGCGTATTATCCCCCCCTTCCCTGTGACCAATTAGGCACTGTCCATTGAAGTGGTGAGTTCCGTTGTGATTGATGTAGGCACTACTATATATTGTCTATATAGAGGCCTACAGGCTACACCACTTTCCAGTATACTCAGTTCGAAATCAAGAGGGATTATGTAGGGAGTACTCGCACTGACATTAATGAGTTTTTCAATAGAAAACCTTTATATATTAATCGTATGAAATCGGAGTGTCACATGGGAGAGCTAGAATAGTAGAATGTCACGCGGCATCTAGTGATTTACTGATCGATCACTTTTGAGAATCGCCTACTTCGAATCAGTGATTCAGTGATTGAATTTAAATTCAGTTGAATTATTGAACCAAATGCGAGTCACTGAACGTAATTAAAGAAACATAAAAACGATTCATTTTAGTGAGTCGAATCAAATGATTCGATTCATTTAAAAGATTCATTTTTCCCATCCCTATATTGTTGTGTCACATTCAACTAACGTTGTAATACTCCAAAGGTTTTAGTACTGGGTTGAGATAATTTATAATTATTTTTGCTCGACTTGAATATGCTGTAGCTGTTATTCCTTTATTGATTATATTTGATATGAAATGGAAAAAAATATTGTCGTTTTCTATAATTGTATCAATGTGCTTTTTATAATTTACACTATCACAATACGCTGTCATAAATAATGAGACTAGTGTGTCGAATGCACACGTGTTGGTAATTACTACATTTCCTATTTCCGATATAGTACAACTTTTTAATTCATCGGCTCTGAATCCATTTTTTAGCACTGGGAATGATTTTATATTTTTATATTTATTTAATTTTAAATGACGTAATAGAGGGTTTGGCATTAAATAAGATTTATTTGTTTTTTGTCTTTTGCTCTTCCTGTTCCAACTTTCAGAAACTACGTCTTAGTCTTTCCAATTAGTATTTGTGGTTTTTGTGAAGCATTTTCTACATATTCTCCTATCTTCTTTTCCCAATTCATGACTTGAACAAGAAGGAAGTGCGTGTACTGGTGTACCACATATTACGCATTTATGAGCCCCATTTTCCACTGGCAAATTACCCGTCTCACACAGTGGACAACCGTCAATAAGTTGTAATATATTTTGAGGAGTTACGATAATAGCATCTTCACTTTCAATAACTTCTGTTTGATTATTTTCTTGGATTTCTTGAATTGGTGACACAGCTGTTGATTGGCTATTGTAACTTGTCGATCGAATAAGTGATGCTCCTTGTAGTGACGATATATGGTGCTCTAAAAATTCTTCGATGTCCACAGGTAATGTCATATGTTTAAATGTAATATTTTTAACCTAACCTAACCTAACCTGATAGGAATAATTTTACGCAACCACCAACGAATTATAATATACAGGTCGTTACGTGTTCATACTGTAATCGAAACGGTCATAATATCGACTCGTGTTATAAAAAGAGAAACGATGAGAGTAGAAACGTTAATAATTCGGAAAACGAAAACGTGTCGAACGAGGGACGCGGTACTCGTACGATAAACCAGATTATCGCAGAACAACCGACTCACGAATATTCCTCATATTCTCAACCTTAGAAAATAATCATATAACATTTAATTCATTCGCTGCTAAAACAAATCAATTATAAATACGTTACAAACCCGGAGTTCTAAATTCAAATGTAGATGCACTCACACGCATATATTCAATTCAGGAAATAAAAAACGAATCATACGAACAATTTCTCGACAAGTTAGGAACACAAATCATCACAAACAGTAATGTAAAAGAAACTATAGGTACACTAATAGATTCACCAAAAGAGTATAACATAGTATCATAAATTGCCAAACAATATAATTTTAGGACAGGAACAAACTATCAATTGAAAAAACAATTTGGAAACGGTACAATGTTGCCAACTAGTAAAGTAATAGGGGACACCCTATTTTAAACAGGAAAACAGGTTTATAATATTCTTGATAACGAAAAAGAAAGACCGACAGAAGGCCACTTACGAAAACATGTATGTATCTTTGATCAATCTAAAACTATTTTGTAAGGAAAACAATTTGAATAAATTAGCCATGAACAAACTAGGTGAACACGATGATTTAGAATGGGAAAAAGTAAGGTCGATGTTGCGATACATATTTCGCAAAACAGATATAGCAATAATTATATGTGCAAAAGTTTGTATATGTGCACATTTATAGTAATAAATCCCATGGTAGAGGTCACTGAACATATAACATGTATTTTTCATTGTTTTTACATAGTTTTTTTCATACGAATTAATAATTTATGACTTCATCATGAAGTTTATACTGGAATTACATTAAATTATATTATTATTTGTGACTAGGTATTATACTGTTATCAGTTTGATATATTTAGATTATAATTTATAATAAACTTAGTAGATGTAGAAGATAAACTTCCCTACATCATAAAATAAACAAAATTTAATGTAATATAATAACAAATTGTTTAATTATTTGCTAAAAAAATTGGTAAATCTGAGTTCAAAATTGTTACCTTATCAAATTATAATAAAATTGAATGGTATATTTTATAATAATTGTCATTATAATCTATATAGGAACTTGCAACACCTATAAAGTATTATCGGCTAGGTCAAATTTTTGAATTTTGTTAGTAATTTTTTGTTATTTAGGGAGTCATGTTGTACATTCAGGATAATTAAATCACATTCAGAGCCCAACTGACAGAAATTTAACATGCGAGGTGGTCATCATAGTAAAAAAAAAATACTTTAAAATATGTTCACAGTTTTAAATGTTTGTAAATTTTTTTTTTTTTGTTTAATATTTATATATGTTCAATGATCGTGTAACCCCAACCTACCTCTGACTATGTAGGTAGACATGTATGTATTATTTTTTACCTACCTTAATATTTGTTTACTTAATACTTGCATAACATTTTAAAAAGGTTGAATTAGTTTAATTATAAATGTGTAAAAAATATTATTTATAAACCACTGCTGATGTAGGTAGTAATGTAGTGTACCTACAAATATAAAATTGAAAATAATAACAGAGCTTTTCAATCATCGATGACCTAGACTACCAAACTACTAACTAGACGTCCAAAATTATTTTTGCACCATTCATGTGAAGTTACAACTATTTCTTTAATTGGATTTTTAAACCGTTAGCTTCAGTAGCTACCATTCCATATATTTTTAAAATAATAATTGAACACTAGTTCAATTCGTTCCTCTAAAAATAGTTATGTCTTTACTAAAAATACAATACATATATTAATGTTAGAGCATGAACTTTTAGTAAGGTACCTACCTATTTTAATTAAGAATCTTATGTTTTAGTAAAAATAAAACATTTAAGTAAGATTGGTATTTTGTTTCTATGTTAGGAAGAATCTAGACAATCTTTTTAGCTAACACAAAAAGTGTGTACAAGTACAATACACTTAGTCCAGTAAGAAATGTTCACTCTGAGGTAGGTATAGGTACCTACTAAAGTAAAAAATAAAAATAACTGTGCAGAGATCACATTCTACATTCATTTATTGAATTATAATAACATAATAATATTATTTAATATTAGTTATTTACCTATTCCTACTAAATAGTTATTTTAATTTGTTTAAATTAAATAATATAATATAATATTTCAATTAATATTATATTATTAAATTAAATTATTTAATGAATTATAAAAAAAAAAAAGCGGGAAATTTGAAATGGGCCAATGAGAACGTGGTATACATAAATCGCTCTGTGGCGTCCTGGGTTTCCTAATACGCGTCTGGGGTATGTGAAAGTATTGACAAGAAAAGATCTTCAAACCCTTCATAATCAGTTATATCCCCGGAAAAAGTCGGGAATGACCGTTTTGGTAATTGGTAGATTGATAAATGTTGAGTTCCACCAAACTGAGTCGTATTATGTCCCTGTGAAGGATCAGATTGTGGAGATAGTACCATCTTGTGAAGCTTCGCCATTGCCATAAGGTCATAATACATTGAATCAAAAAAATCCACAAACGAAATTGTACAGGCATTGTCCGTGACATCCTCAGGTGCTGTTTTTGAACTTACTGTGTGCTCCATGATGTGTATATCGTTATTGACCTCTTGTACCTACTTGTGATGATTGTATCTACCGAAGAGATTGACTAGAGTCAGTCCGGATTATCTAACAGAGAGGTAGGTATTATAAACGGAACCAAATAAATAAATACTCACCGATTGTGAACGATATATTATAATTTATTGATATCCGTTGTATAAATGGTCAGCAGATTCAATATCCGCGAAACCAGAGAAATTTACAATGATTAATGTGTCATCTTACTGACGACGACAATGACAAAAAATAGAACGTGTAAATACAAAAAAATATGAACGAAAATTGGGAGCTGCTTTAATAGTGAGCGTCGCCAGGACACACACCACAATAGTAATACAGTATTATAAATCACGAACTCTTTTTTGGTTATGTTGACACAACGTAAAAAGAAAACAAGCAATATAAAAACTATGGCGGTGTTTACATTAATTTAGCAAAAACATTAGAAAGACGTTTGTATAGAGTGGATCGTGTGTGTAATACTGTAATGCGTATTAATAGATGGTGAAGAGCGGGGTGGAAAGAGTTACCCATTGTGAGTGATGTACGTTGTCACCGTTATAGATGTAATGACGGAAATGCTGACGCAAGCATCATGAACAACCAAGGCATCTTGATTTTATTATAAGTGAGACTTATAATTGGTTTTCAAAATCATCTTTACGGCAACAATTACATTTAGACTTATTTAAAACAATGAATGATGGCCATGCACCTCTGAAGATCGTCAGAGCATGTAGTACTCGATGGTTGTCAATTGAATCTGCAGTGTCGCGAATAATTGATCAATGGCTAGAACTTAAATTACATTTTCAACTTGATCGTTCAAATGAAAAATGCTTTACTGCTGAAGTTTTATACGATATGTATTGTAATGAACCGAATTTGGCTTTTTTTCTTTTTTTGAGACCTGCTTTAGCTGATGTACAAAGAGTTAATAAATTGTTTGAAAGCAATAACGTCGATCAGACAAAGTTAGCGATTGATTTATCGACATTGGTAGTCTCATTAGGTAAATTAATCGTATTACCTTAATTTAATTTTGACCCAGTTACAAATGAGAATTTTATTAATCACTTACACCCTAAACCGTTTTTGGGTTAGTTTGGAAAATAAAGTGACAGAACTAAAAAATAATGCCTCACTTAACGCTAATGGTGAAAAAGTATTAAGAGACAGATGAATTAAGTTTACTACTATTTTAATTCAACAACTCCAACAAAGATTACCAGAGAATTTTAAAGTATTTGAAAAAATAAATATGTTATCACCTACTAATGTATTAAAACAAGTGAAAGATATAATTAGCACATTATGTGAAGTTCTAGGATATGAGAGCAAATTGATTGAAACAATTGATTTTCAGTGGCGTAAAATTAATGTTTTACTGTGGAATGAAACAACCAATGTTGTACAATTTTGGGCTGAAGTCAAGAACTACACAGATGCCTGTGGTGAGCTCCCCTAAAAGAATTGTCTGAACTAGCACTAACGACTTTGTCATTACCTTTTTCAAATGCCGAAGTAGAGTGGGTGTTTTGTTTCTATGTTAGGAAGAACCTAGACAATCTTTTTAGCTAACACAAAAAGTGTATACAAGTACAATAAACTTAGTCCAGTAAGAAATGTTCACTCTGAGGTAGGTATAGGTACCTACTAAAGTAAAAAATAAAAATAATTGTGTAGAGATCACATTCTACATTAATTTATTGAATTATAATAACATAATAATATTGTTTAATATTAGTTAGGTACCTATTACTACTAAATAGTTATTTTAATTTATTTAAATTAAATAATATAATATAATATTTAAATTAATATTATATTATTAAATTAAATTATTTGATGAATTATAAAAAAAAGCGGGAAATTTGAAATGGGCCAATGAGAACGTGGTATACATAAGGCGCTCTGTGGCGTCCTGGGTTTCCTAATATTCTTTGGATAGCGATACAAGACAATTAGTTGCCATAAATGAGGCTGGCGTTGTACGATAAGTCACAGTTGAAAGTCGATACAATTGTAATGCTTTATCTGGCTGCGATCTCCAAACTATCCTTTGCCAGTCTTGATCCTCTTTAGCTACCCTTATTTGCCGGAATATCTTCTCCACGGCAGCTGTAATGACAAACTGATATTTACGGAATCGCATCTAAATCGTCTTGAACAGTCGGACCACACAAAAGCACATCGTTCAAGGATAAGTTTGAAGTACTTTTGGTCGATGCGTAGAACACGACACGCAGCTTAGTTGTAAGACTTGATAGCTTAATCACCGGAAGATGCGGAAGGTAAAATGTTGCACTTGGATGATCTTCTTCTTCGCTCACCTTCTTCATATGCTCCATTCTTAAATATTCTTCCATAAATTCCGTGATTGAGACCGTAGCTCTGGATCACGCTGAATCCTCCGCTCAACGCTGATAAATCTTTCTGTCGCCATTTTTAGAGTTCTTCCAATTCCATGTGCATCTGACTTTAATGGTAGCCGCAGAAAGAATCTGCCTTCCTGATCTTGCCTTGTAGTTTCTTCAAAGTGACTGAGAGCTTTCTGTTCTTCAATACATTTCTTATTTGACTTAGATGCTGCCCCATTATTACTGGACTCATTATTACTTAGGATCCTGAGATTGTCTTTGAAGGCTTCTCCGAAAGAACATTTAGCCAAAAGTGATTTAGCGCCATACCCTCCCGTAACAAGCCAACCAAACTTCGAGTCTTGTAGGCAGACAGCTCCTCCTTGTGACTTAATCCTTGCTGGCTCAATCAAATCGTAAAATTAGCCAACACCAATGAGTAAGTCAACACTTCCTGATGAATCGAATGACGGGTCAGCCAGTTGTAGCGTCAATTCTACCGATGTGAAGTTAGCATTACAATAATTGCAGAACTTTTCAAAAACCTTCCAACAATGTTCAAATGGCCTTGTTGGACATTGTTGGACACTTGTTGGAATTTGTTGGACCCCCACTTTTTAACTGACCTAGCATATATTTTGTACTGCCAACTTCACGCCTAGCATTACATTTTTACTGGAACCGTTCAAAAACCTTCCAACAATGTTAAATGGACTTGTTGGACCTTGTTGGAAAATTGTTGGATCTTATCCTAGTTCTTCAATGTCAAACTTTGTACTGCTAACTTTCTATACTTAGCAGTTTGGACTTCACTTTCCAAAACTGTCCGATATACGTGGAAATATCCACTAAATAATTGTAAGTTGAGTTTTTATTGTTCTAAGTCCCATTCGGAATTTTTATGTCAAAATACTGCAGTTTTTGTTATTATTATTGAGCACTTTAAAAAAATGTACTCGTAAGTTTTCCTCTGTATATAAAATATTTGAGGGAGAATCGTAAAATGATCTCTTCTTGAAGAATTTACTAAATATAATTTAAATAATATCTTTATTTCACGGTTTTTAAAAAAAAAAATTATTTCGCATAATAAGTACATCAGTAAATCATCAACATATTTTTAACTTTGTCCGAAAGCTGGTATGTTTTTTCTAGTGTTTATTAACTTTTAGCATTACGAACTAAAAATGTTTAATTGTTAAATTAAAATAATAAAATAAAGTCGTGTACTTAGTTGAAAGTAAAATATTCTTATATATTTATACACAGTTATAGTCATGGACAACAGTGTAAGACAAATATATTATAGTGTTACGTACCTACGTATTTAGTAATTAAGTAATAACAATGCACGATGTAGCGTACGTTTCTAATAGTAATCGACGATATAATTAATAAGGCAATTGGTATATTATAACACGCTAGGGTCATTTTAAAAGTATCTTTCCAGGAAAGTCAACACTCATACGAAGGATACGAGTCGACCAGCATACCAAGTACGAGACCCGGACTCAGTCTCATGACCGAATTTGGCCACTGATACAACCACCCACTCCAAAGAACTCGATCATATAAATACCAGCCCGGGACAAGAGCTCGGCAGACGGTTAGGGATACTCAAGACATTTGGAGGCAGGTCGTAAAACCACTCACGTCTCCACCTTACCTTATATACATTGTAATTTTGTACTTAAATAAACACTCATCATAAATCGACCTCAGTTGGGACGTAACAGAAATTGGCACTGTGGACAGGGTCTTCCAAGATACAAGGAACATTTAACAATATTTTTCGAAATAATTTGGATCAACTTCAATCAACAGAGGCAACTTCACCTTCTTGGATCACCGTTGAACCTTCAATTCAACTACGACTCTGGGAAGACCGAACTTTTGTTACAATTCAACTACTGCGAGAGAGATCAAGCAACGGGATGAATACAGCAGTGTTGTAAGCATAATTTATGTAACCATCTCCTTTGGTCTATTGGTCCATCGTAAATTTGGCAATTTTTTGAAGATATTATTGAAGTTATTTTTGTGAATTAAATAAGGGCATTTATTAATTATTATTGAAGGGCAATTATTGATTATTATTGAAGATTGTTTTGTGACTTATTAAAGGGCATTTATTAATTATTATTGAAGGGCAATTATTGATTATTATTGAAGATTGTTTTGTGACTTATTAAAGGGCATTTATAGAGTATTATTGAGATTATATTTATTGTTGATTATTGAGGGCATATTATTGAGTTCAACTTATTATTTAAGTACAACTCCCTTGGAATTAGCTACTCCATTGTATAGAACACGTGTAGATTTTGTAGCCTATGTTTAAATGCCCTAGCCCACGTTAAAGCCCGCCAGCCCGAGTAAGAAACGCATAGCCCGAGTAGAAGCCCCAGCCGAATTTAAAGCCCAAATCAAATAGAATTAATAAGTTAATTGAGATTATATTAAATGAGATTATAATAATAAAATTAAATATTACTGAGATTATGATTAAAGGATTAGAGTAAAATAATAAATGAGAATAATAAAATATTAATGAACAATAGTTCAGAAGAAAATATTAATGACGAATTTGAAACGATAGCTAGAGAAACGTTAGATAGAATAATTGAATAATCGAAAACGAAAATAATTTAGAAATTGACGTAAACAATACTGATAGCGAAATAATTGACAACATAGAAATAAATAATTTAAACGAAGAATTAGATTTATTTAATGAAGAAATACTTAAAGAACGTATAGAACCTAAACCAATAAGGCAATAAACAGTGATATATAAAGTAAAAGTTTACGATTAATAAACCTAGAGGAGTTTGAAAATAAGCCTACTACCAGCGCAATTCGTCAATGGTTACGAAGTAGTAAAAATACTATTCACTCCGAATATATACAACCGAAAAGAACATTCAAAGTAAAGAAAATGACAGATGGCACCGACGCGAAACCGAATAAAATTAATTCCTAATTATTCAGGACAAACCGAAATATATCCATTTTTAAATGCATGCGAAGTAATCATAAATACGGTAAACTCAGAACAGCACCCTTTTATGTTAAAAATGATAGCAGCTACTAAATTGTTAGACAGAGCTTTTAATGTAACCGGATATAAGGAAATTAAGGTATGGGAAGATATGAAAAAAATATTATTAGACGCATTCGAAACTCCTTATGGAACCGTTTCCTTAAACCGCCGCAGGCGCGCTCGGCGGTCGCGTGCGTCTAGCGACGCGCGACGAGTACCCCCTCAGTAGGCAGTCAAAACGCACGAGCCGCGCGGTTGATGGTAGTCGGTATATACAGTTGATTTTTTTTCAGAGAATTTTTTTTTGTTGTAAAAAATGTCTTCAAAAACTTTATTTACTTTGGAAGAAGATACAATTCTCGCAGAATTTGTTAGTAAACATCCATGTTTGTTTGACTTGAGAAATTCATTGTACAAGGATCAACATGTACGAGAAAATGTGTGGAAAGAAGTGTCATGTATTTTAAAAACAAAAAGTGGTAAGTATCTTTTATTGATGTACTGATAATTATTTGAAAAAAAAATATAATTTAACACCTAATATTTCTTAATATAATTAATTATATTAGTTATTAAATCACTTATTTCTATACCTAATATTGTTATTATTATAAATAAAATTACATTTTTATATAATTATTTTACTATATATCTTATATGTAATTTAATTAATAATAATAGTAATGATAAAATTCAATATATAATAAATAACCATGAATATTGTTAATTATGTTTAGAAATATTATTTAATTATTTCATAAAAATGTTACAAATTATTTATATTATAAATAATTATAAAAAAAAAACTTTCAAAATAACAGTTATTAATAATTAAATGTCAGTTTCCTGTGTTCGGCTGTCTTGCCATGAAACAGCTCCTTGTTCACTATTGAAAAAATTTGTAAATTCATCCCTTACCAAAAATCCTTCGAAATTTGCGTAACCTCCAGATTTAGCAAGAGACATCATGTTCTTCAAAGGTTGAGGTTCGTTTGGATCATAATTATAATAATAATTAGGCACGTTTTCTAAATATCTATCCCGGAGAAGATTATGGAGGCAACAGGCTGATAAAACTAGTTGATCAGTTGTTTCGGTTTTCAAAGAAATGGGAGTATAAAAAACCCTAAATACTTGGCTTAAAAGACCAAAACTATTTTCTGTAGTTCTCCGAGCTCTTGACAAACGATAGTTGAAAATAATTTTTTTGTTATCATTCCGGGCTTCTCCACGAGTGTATGGTCTCATCATATGTGTCTCCAGACGGAAAGCTTCATCGCCGACATGAACAAATGGTAAGCTTATTTCCGAATTTGGAAGTTTTTTTTCTGGCGGAAAGTATTCTTTTTGTTTAATTAATTGGTTCAAACTTGATTTTCCAAATATGCCACTATCACCTTCTTTTCCGTACGAGCCAATGTCGACATAAATAAATTTACAATTAGCATCCACAATAGCTAATAAGACAATTGAAAAATAGTCTTTATAATTAAAAAACAAAGAACCACTCTTTCCCGGACAAAATATTCTAATATGCTTTCCATCGATTGCACCAACACAATTTGGAAAGTTCCATCTATCCCAATATTCACCTGCAATTCGTATCAAATCTTCTGGCGATGGTGGTTTTAATAATTTACCAGTTAGTCGTGAACTCAAACTTTTTAAAACCAACTGTATAATACGAGTGATATAACTTTGAGATATCCTAAACGCAAATGCCAATGACCGAAATGATTCGCCGGTAGCCATATATCTATAAAATATAATTATTTAAGGATTTATTTTCAACGAAATAATTATTTCTAGTTATTTCTAATTTCTAAGGAGTTCGCACTTTCCACGTATCGACCTGACAAAATTTAATTTATTTTAATTATCCACTTGTTGCTAGCATTTGGAATTTCGTAATAATTATTTCTAGTTATTTATAATTTCTAAGGAGTTCGCACTTTCCACGTATCGACCTGATAAAATTTAATTTATTTTAATTACCCACTTGCTGCTAGCATTTGGAATTTCGAGGTACGATTGTGACTATATAGCACAGACCATTGACATAGAGCAATAACTAATAAGTAATAACCATACACCTATAAGCTAATGGACAGCGCTTAGAGAAAGAAGGTACGATATAGGTAGAGTGAGCAAGAAAAGAAACTAACTAGTAAAATACTAAAATGTACACAGTTCCTTTGGGGGCTATTTTGATAAGGCGTTTTGGTGTGTTAAATAATTCAATAAACGATTGCGTTTTTTACGATTTAACGATTTAAAAACATATAAAAATACTGCTTACCCAACATGCGAAGTTGCTACCACCCTGACTGATTAGTATTGAACTATTTTATTTTAATTTTCGTTGATAAAAATATTTTTTAAGGTAAAAAATATTAGATCAAGTATATTTTTATTGTATTTTACTAAAAAAAAAAAATATATGTAAAACGTATTAATCTATAATGTACTGTTTATGGTGAATAGTCTTTTCCTATTATGTATTGTGTGAAAAAGTTTTTTTTTGAAGATATTTGACATGTCACATCACCTCTAATTGGATGTTGAAAAGTTTAGTTACTATAAATTGATTAATTTATACAGTTGACGATTGTAAAAAAAGATGGCGAAATATGAAGGACACCTACAATAAAAACAAAAGGAGTAGAAAAGTCGGTACAGGATCAGCAACTAGGAAAAAGCCTTCCAAGTGGCAACTTTCAGATATTTTATCTTTTCTAGATGTAGCAACTTATGAAAGAGAGTATGTTATTTATTATATTTATTTGACTCAAAATACATTTGGAAATCATATATTATAATTTGTTTTTATATGTTAGAGGTGTATCAAATATTATGTCTTCTGATGCATCAGCAATAGAACACACCAACGAAGATCCTCAGATTCAGAGTCAAAAAAATACTGATGGTTTGTTTGAAGACTCAATTGATGCAAGTGTGTTAAACCAAGGAGAAAGTGAATTACAGCCATCTTCATCAGCTATTGGAGAATCGATTTCAGAAACGGGAGTTACTGGTAAAATAAAAAAATCGTGGACTGAATCAGTATCGAATAAAAAAACAAAAAAAAACGACAATTTACTTGATGCATTGAAAAAAAGAGATGAAGAAAGGAATAAGATTCTTCAAGAACTAAAAAATATTGAACAAGACGATCCTATTGATGCTTTTTTCACAAGTATGGCATTAACGGTAAAGCAGTTTACTCCAGAATTAATAATTCAAGCTAAATTTGATATTCTTCGTATTGTAAGTAATTTAGAATTAAAGAATAACAAATTAAAAGAAATTATGCCACCCCCTCAAGTTCCACAGCCGTCTACTTCTTCAAGCTACGAATTTCCCACAACAGTCAACCCTTACCAAAGCTCCGAAGAAAGTTCGCATCCAGAGTGGGTAGATTATAATTATTCTACATCCAATTCGTTTGATAGCCAGCAACAAGATAGTGAACAACCAGAGGAATATTGGATTCATTCTCTTAATAAGTAGTTACCTTATACTTTATTTTTATTTTTTAACATGACTTTATAGTTTAAAATTTATTTTCTATATCTATTTGTTTTTTCTAAGTTTTTATTTGATTTGTTTTAATATTATATTTTATTTATTTAACTATCATTAGAATATAATTTTGTTACATTTTGCTACGCATATTTCACCATTATATAGCATAACTTATATACCATTATATTATATCATAATTTTGTTAAACTTTTTATTTAAAAAAATATATATACTTTTCTTTAAACTTAATTATCTAAACTTACTAACTACATGTTATATTCATTAAAATTTAAGTATTACATTATACAAATAACAATTTTTTTTGATGATCAAAGTGAATTAATTAAGTAGGTACCCACTCAGTCTTTGTTTAGTACTGAAGATATTCACTTAGTGAACAAAATACGTATTTATTTAGCAAAAAAGGTAAGTATAGGTACACAATAATATAATATATCATACCTATTAAAATATGTCAAAACTTTACCTTAATGTAACTGATAACTTCTCGGCTGGTGTTATTGGCTGTTTAACTCGATTGTAAGGATCACTCTTGATGTCATCTTCAATGATATTTAAAACATAATTAAATTGATCATAACTCAATCGAAAAAATTCTCTGAATTTGGTTTCATCTTTAAATAAATGTTTCTCAATTAAAATGTTATAAAAGCCCTCAATTTTTCTTTTGAGAAACATATCATGAATATTGTGATTTTTATTATTCATTACATGTTCGATTATGGCTGTTTCTTCGTCAATTTGCTCCAAAAGCATTAATTTAATAAGCATTTTTTTTTTCTTACTGCGCAACATTATAATTAATTGTAAAATATGCACCAGTAGGTATAATATAAATACACGAATGACTTGTTAACCGTTCAGATGTACAAGGGAAACTGGAAATGAAAAAAATTGGAAACTGTATAATAAAATAAAATACGCCGTGCGTCTCTTGCGGCCATATTTTGTATTTTCTAGGGAATTCGTCATTGAGCCGTGCGGCTCGTGCGGCCGAAATTTCGGCCGCAATGCGACAGCCGCATTGGCCGCGCGTCTACAGACGCGTCCTAAGGAATCGCACCTTTAAACCGCCGCAGGCGCGCTCGGCGGTCGCGTGCGTCTAGCGACGCGCGACGAGTACCCCCTCAGTAGGCAGTCGAAACGCACGAGCCGCGCGGTTGATGGTAGATACAGTTGATTTTTTTTTCAGAAAATTTTTTTTTGTTGTAAAAAATGTCTTCAAAAACTTTATTTACTTTGGAAGAAGATACAAATTTTTTAGTAAACATCCATGTTTGTTTGACTTGAAAAATTCATTGTACAAGGATCAACATGTAAGAGAAAATGTGTGGAAAGAGTGTCATGTATTTTAAAAACAAAAAGTGGTAAGTATCTTTTATTGATGTACTGATAATTATTTGAAAAAAAAAATAATTTAACTCCTAATATTTCTTAATATAATTAATTATATTAGTATTAATTAGTTATTAAAGCACTTATTTCTATACCTAATATTGTTATTATTATAAATAAAATTACATTTTTATATAATTATTTTTCTATATATTTTATATGTAATTGAATTAATAATAATAGTAATGATAAAATTCAATATATAATAAATAATCATGAATATTGTTAATTATGTTTAGAAATATTATTTAATTATTTCATAAAAATGTTACAAATTATTTACATTAAAAATAATTATAAAAAAAAAACTTTCAAAATAACAGTTATTAATAATTAAATGTCAGTTCCCTGAGTTCGGCTGTCTTGCCATGAAACAGCTCCTTGTTCATTATTGAAAAAATTTGTAAATTCATCCCTTACCAAAAATCCTTCGAAATTTGCGGAACCTCCAGATTTAGCAAGAGACATCATGTTCTTCAAAGGTTGAGATTCGTTTGGATCATAATTATAATAATAATTAGGCACGTTTTCTAAATATCTATCCCGGAGAAGATTATGGAGGCAACAGGCTGATAAAACTAGTTGATCAGTTGTTTCGGTTTTCAAAGAAATGGGAGTATAAAAAACCCTAAATACTTGGCTTAAAAGACCAAAACTATTAAACTATGTAAATTTAATAATGGAAATTCCGTTAACCTTAATCTTTTTAATATAATTTTGTCTGAACTCCCGCCCCATGTTACTATTATGTTTATTTTGTTGTCACGCTGTATATAATTCCGTATGTAAGTTACATTTAGACTATTAATTGGTGCCCTCAAACTTTGATTGATAATAATTACTAATTATATTATTCCATATTAGTTTTAGTCTACATTCAAAGATTCTAATTCTCTGTGCATTGAATGTAAAGAATTGCGTATATATAATCTACATTTATAATATGTATATTGTGATTGTTGGTAGTGTAGTTTAAGTTGTTTTTTTTCATATTCTAATTTTTTTAATTTTTTGGTTTATTGTTTTAATTTTGTTTTTATTTATATTTTCTTCTTCGTCTTCTTCATCCAAAGTTTTTTCAAGTAATTCATATTTTTCTTCAATTTGTCGTTTTATGAACGTTTCGTTTGAACGAGATTCCATTTTATTAATTTTTTTTTGAAACTGAAAATGTTAATATTTATTTATTAATCAATATATTCAATAAAATAAAAAAAGTCGAGTCATAATAATAATTATAAGCGAAACAATATTATTTTTCCTTTATATTATATTATATTATATTTAACTCATATTATTTGACAAATTTTCACAACACAGTTAAAATATTAATAAAATACTTAGTAAGTTATATATATATATATAGTTATATATTTATATATATTTATTATCAATGATATAATAATTACCAATTATATTATTCAAAGCTAAATAAAAAAACTTTAAAAAACTAGGCAATATAGCATTTATAACATAGAAACATACTTTTAATTACTAATGAAATCGTGATCACATGATAATAGAAAATACGTGATAGTTTCTATGCTAGTTAATCGTAATAGTGTGATAGTAACAACTATCGTGCTTACTAATATCGTGTGTCCACGGCTTTCAAACAATCTCAACATAAAAACAACAAAAATTATATTTTAGAAAAAATAATTTAAATTTATATATTATATGAAGGGTGGAAATGCAAAAGGTGGTATTGCCAAAAACCAAAATGTTCACAAATCAAGGAAAACTGTACCACATTTTCTGACGACTATAAGCACTCAGAATAAGTTTATTTATATGTAAAAAATAAAAAGGAAACGATTGACAGTGTCAAAATAAATCTACCTAAATTGGAAACATTGTTTTTAATGCTTTGAAAATTTCGTGTCAGACCAAAACGTGGTATTGCCGGCAATACCACGTTTTGAAAAAGTAATGGCAATAGCACGTTTTAAAGTTGTTCATATTTCTGTTGATGCAAAACGCATTATTGCCGGCAATACCACGTTTTGAAGAAACATATTTGGCAATACAACATTTTGAAATTAACCCTTTTTTTTTTAGTAAAATGAGGTATTACCATTAAAAGTATATTTTTATAATATCTGATATATTTTGTAAATTTATTAATATAGTTGTACCACTAATAAAAATCAATTTTTTACCCTTTATGAAGGTTTGAATAAAATTAAATCAATTAAAATATGAAAAATTCTTTAATCTTGTAGCATATTATTAAAAACACTATTCAATATTGAACACATGAGTTTGTATAGAATTCAAACAATTAAAAAACAAACAAACCCTTTTCATAACCTATTATTACATAATAAAATAATATGAAAATTAAATATTTAACAGACTTTTTTTACTTTTTTTTAATATATCTACTATAAGTAAAAAATAAAAATTTAAAACACAACACATTGTTATAATATACAACATAACATAATAACAAATTTATCATATTTAACATAACAAATTTATTATATGATAAACCTCTTTTATAACATAATAAAAATTATAAGAAATAAATATTTAACAGCCTTTTTTTTAAATACATCTTGTATTAGTTAGAAATAAAAATTTAAAAAGTTTAAAACACAAACTTTGTTTATAATATAAGATAACATAAAACATAATAACAAATTAATCATATTTAATACAACAAATTTATGATATTATAAACCCCTTTTATAATATAATAAAAAAATGTAACCTTATATCTAGTTATTTAAAATAATAGTATCTTATGAACACTCAATAAGTAGCATCTTCATTGTAAATAGGAACATCATTTTCTTCTTCTTCTGGTAATAATTCATTTGATCGAAAAATGTCAGTATAAAAATCCTTTGCGTCTTCTGGGATTACAAAAAAACGCATTAAATTCTTTAAGTCTTTTTGTTTAGGCAGTTTCACATGATTAATTTTAGGTAACATATCAATTGTATCTAAAGTGTTTAGACTACTGCCTCTTTTGAGGACAGATACTGTATAAGTGGGATTTTCATTATAATTTGGTGACACATCAACAGTCTTTTTCCCTTTATAATAAATAAAAGTCTTCTGTTCTGTGGTTTTTATAACATTAGGTTTCATAAATTTTTTTACAGCCTTTTTTATATCGTATATAAAAAAATCTTTATTAAATACATGAAGGGTTGCAAATTTTTTAAATATATCATAATACTGTTGAGGAGATAATAATATTTCTTTTTTACGTAAACACTTTTCAATGCGTCCGAAAACTTGATCAGGAGGCATGTAACTATGCCCCCTTACTGGAAATATATGATTTATTTTATTAAATATGGTGTTTTTATAATTTATATAGTACAACAGAGTTGCTACGACAAATTGGTTTTTGTTTTGTGCGGAACACGAGTCTGAAAATAAGTTAAGCTCAACTATAGGAATTGATTCTTTCTTTATTCGCTCTTGCAGTTTTTCTAAAAAATGAAGCAAAATAGAACATACCTCATTTGGACCACGAGCGCTTTCAGATTCAACCCATGTATATAAATGACAGTTTTCAGGGCTCTGTTCTGAATTATTAGAAAAATTAATAC